CCCCACCTTCGACTGCCGGCCCACACTGCCCAGGCCTCCCGTGTCCCGGGACTGCCGGCCCACACTGCCCAGAGGGCTGGCAGCTCTGCTTTGCTCTTCCTTGTCCACGCCTTTCATCACTGCCTCCATTGTTTCCCCTGCACTGCCTGCACAGGGCCTTCCCAGACCTGCTCCCTCCGGCCCCTGTGGCCTGGTCCCCTCCTCACCCTGCTCCCGCCCCCTCAGCCAGCGCTTGTTGCCCGTTTCTGTCCTCCTGCTGCTGTTAGAACCCAGTCGCCGCCCATTCCTCATCTCTGAGCTCGACTGAGTTGCCTGGTTTGGGTTTTGAATTCAGCCTCCAGCTGCTCCTGCCGCCCATTCCCCCGGCTTCTCCCTGCCTGCCCTCGCGCCCTGCTTGGGTCCTGACGTTTTCGTCCCGGCCCTGGAATCTGTCTCATCCCTCTTTGTCCAGATCAGACGTATTTAAGACTCTCGTACGTGTGTCTCATCGTCTTTCATAAAGCGTTTTTGTATCATCTTAACCCTCAAGCAAAAGTAGTATCTCTCCCCCGGCTCACTCTGCACGTAGACTGGACGGAACGTGCTGAGGCTTCCTTCCTGCCTGACGACCCGCGTTCCCTCCCCGCTGTTGGTAATTGCTGCCTGTGGCCCCGTTTGTGCCCTGGGGCCATGCACATAATAGATGTCCCCACAGGCACTGTGTAGAAATAAGACTTGGATTAGTAAGAATCACATAGGTCAGTTAGAGGAGCTGTGCGATCAGTTGCTGGAGCAGTTTCACATCACCACCACCCTGTGCTGTTGGCCTTTCATCCCTGACAAACTCCTGCCTGCAGGTCTCTCTGGATACAAGGACTCCGGTCATGGAGTGGCAGAGGGCGCGGCACTCAGGACACAGTGGTGCTGCCACTGCAAGGTGGTCGTTCTCGGCAGCGGTGTGCGCAAGTCCCTCCGAGACCTGGCCTTTATGAGCAAGGTACGTGCGTGCATCCCTTCTCCACTCAGGCGTCCTGGGCAGGTGCTCCTGTGTCCAGGAGAGGCCCTCCTGGTGATGCCCGGGGCCACGTTCCTGGGTGCAGCCTCCTCATATACTGTCGGGACTAAAACCAAATGACTATAACAGACTTAAGTTGGGTATTATGAAAACATTTTTAAGTGGAATGGAATGTAGGTAGTAAAGTTTATTTTCATAAATTCGTTTTCTGTGTGGTTAAATCATTACATACTAAATAGACACAGTCACCTTTTTACTCGTAGGATAGGAAGATGTTAACATACATAAAGCTGACAGCATGCAGATCCTGCTTTTATTAAATCATGACTTTCTGAGACCCCCTGCCCCAACACCTCTCTCTGCTTTTCAGGACTCCCGCGAGGGCTCTGGCCGAGTGCAGAAGGACATTGTCTTCTGTAGTAATAACTGCTTCATTCTGTACTCATCGACCGCACAGGCAAAAATCTCAGAAAGCAAGGTAAAATCACATTTCAATTAATCAGCAATACACAGCGAGTGACTCTGTCCTGGGGATGAACAGGTTCCCAGAGCTCCGGGTGGAGGGAGCTGAGCCAGGGCTGCTCAGGTAGAGAGCGGTCACAGCCGCCCTGTGTGTTGCCGTTTCAGGTTAAGTAAGTTATTTGACCAGTGGACGTTGTACTTTACAGGCTTGAATCATATCTTACAGGTTCAGAATTGAGTAAAAACACTCATCATAAATGCTGAATTTTACTTAGTTACAAATAGTTTAGTTAGAACTATGAAATACTGTTCTTACTGATTTATGCCAGTGGGAAACCTGTCAAAAACACAACTTTTGTCTATTCGTGTGTTTTGGGGAGCAGTTCTGCTGCTCAGATCATGGTGGAAATGGTCTGCTATACTTGATTTTGTGTCGTTTCAGTGCATCTGAGTGTGTAGTTAATGGGGTTTGGTTTTTTTGTTGGAACGTTGTATCTTACTTTAAAAAATTTTTATTTTTTAATTACACGTGACGTGCAGTATCCTATTTCAGGTATACAGTGTACAGATTCAGGCACCTTAAGAAGTGATCCCCTGGCACCACACATCACTGCAGTATCCTTGACTGTGTCCCCATGATGTGCTGCCCACAATTATTTTTGTAGCTGGCAGTTTGTACTTCTTTATGCCTTTACCTTTTCTGCTTGTGCCCCCAACTCCCCTTCCATCCGGTGACCATCAGTTGGTCTCTCTTTCTGTTTTGTTTATTTTGTGTGGGGTTTTTTTAAAGCTTCCATATATAAGTGAGATCATACAGCATTTGTCTTTCTCTGAGTTATTTCACTCAGCATAATGCCCTCAGGTCCATCCATGTTACAAAGGGCAAGATTTTGTTCTTTCTGTGGGTGAATAATATTCCCTTGAGTGTGTAGCGCCTTGTCTTTATAAACTCCTGTCTGTTGGTGGGCGGTTGGGTGCTTCCGTATCTTGGCTACTGTAAATAACGCTGCAGTGACCTTGTGGGTCCACGTATCTTTTCAAATTAGTGTTTTAGATTTCTTCAGATAACCCAGAAATGGAATTGCCGGGTCATAAGGCAGTTCTGGTTTTCATTTTGAGGGGTTCCCCACACTGTTCTCCACAGTGGCTGCCCCAGTCCGCATTCCCACCAGCCGTGCACAAGGGCTCCTTTCTCCCCACACCCTCGCCAGCACTTGCTTGTTGATTTAGTGACGACAGCCATTCTGACAGGTGTGAGGTGACATCTCACTGTGGTTTTAATTTCCCTGATGATTATTGACATTGAGCCTCTTTTCCTGTATCTGTTGGCCATCTGTAAGGTGGACAGTATATCTTCAGTCATTTGCGTGGAAGGGAGTTCTTCCCTGTGCAGTCACACTGCCTGTCATTCCTCCCTCCAGGTTCTTGCTCTCGTGTGTCTTTCTTGAAAGAAGGTCCTGGAGGCTCTAATTTTTCCAACAGGCAGTAGACCCCAGTGTAATGAAATCCAAGCTACATGCCAGATCGGTTTAGAATTTAACTCTGAGTCTGTTTGCCTGTGTGAGAGAAGAACGGTTTCTCACCAGCTTCTTTGGTCAATGTGCAATTTCTGCCTCTTCTGGGTCCCACGTGAGCTGTGTCTTCTTTCAGATCGCTTGCAGGATGGGTGCCTGAGAAGAGGGAACCTGTGCTGGGGGTTAATGGTTTGGATGCTCCACCTAAAGAGAAACTACTAGAGCTTCTCTCTTAGTTCTTTTAGCAGGTGAATTTGAACCTGGCAGCCTCAGAGAAAAGTTCATTTGCTTGTAAACAGGGACTGACTGACTTCCTCCCCTTCTACATTTATGCCAATAATTGAGCCAAGATCAACAGACCGGAAGTTCAGAGAGTGGTGATAGGTTCACAGAAGACTGTTTCAAAAGTTCTTGCTTGGTTTACCAAAAGCACTGTTCTACTGTACAAATCACATTCGCCAGCTCCTCTACCGTGCTAGGTTTTCTGGCTTTATTATAGTTAGAAAGGAGTGCACAGGAAGGGTTAGGAGCAGAGCTTCCCAGAGTTGAGGCCTCGTAGAGAAGGCCTGTGGAGGGTCCACCCCCAGTGGGCCTCCTCCATCAGCCCTCTCTCCACCCAAACATCTCCGATGCTCCACACTGACTCCCTCACTGATCCCCACCACTCACAGGCCTGTCCCCTGCCTGCCGGTCACACACGCTGTCCAATCCTATTGCTTGGCTTCTCGTTTCCACAAGAATTGCTTTAGAGCTTGTGAGTGACTCTTCTGTTTCTCGCCAGGAGCCCCCCCTCCCTTCGTTGCCACAGTCGCCCATGAAGGAGGCGCCTTCCAGAGCATCCCACCAGTACAACAACAACATCTCCACACTGGACGTGCACTGCCTGCCGCAGCTCCAGGAGAAGGCGTCTCCCCCGGCCTCGCCGCCCATCACCTTCCCTCCTGCCTTTGAAGCAGCCAAAGTCGAGGCCAAGCCAGACGAGCTCAAGGTAACGGTCAAGTTGAAGCCCCGGCTGAGAACTGTCCACGGCGGGTTCGAGGACTGCCGGCCGCTAGCTAAGAAGTGGCGAGGGATGAAGTGGAAGAAGTGGAGCATCCACATCGTGATCCCCAAGGGCACATTCAAGCCGCCCTGCGAGGACGAGATTGACGAGTTTCTGAAGAGGCTGGGCACCTCCCTGAGGCCGGACCCCGTGCCCAGAGACTCCCGGAAATGTTGTTTCTGCCACGAGGAGGGCGACGGCCTGACGGACGGGCCGGCGCGACTGCTCAACCTGGACCTGGACCTGTGGGTCCACCTGAACTGTGCTCTGTGGTCCACAGAGGTCTATGAGACCCAGGCCGGTGCCTTGATCAATGTGGAGCTGGCCCTGCGGCGAGGCCTGCACATGAAGTGCGTCTTCTGTCATAAGATGGGCGCCACCAGCGGGTGCCACCGGCTGCGGTGCACTAACGTTTATCACTTCACCTGCGCCATGAAAGCACAATGCATGTTTTTTAAGGATAAGACCATGCTTTGCCCCATGCACAAACCAAAGGGAATCCACGAGCAGGAACTGAGCTACTTCGCCGTCTTCCGGAGGGTCTACGTGCAGCGGGACGAGGTGCGGCAGATCGCCAGCATCGTGCAGCGCGGCGAGCGCGACCACACCTTCCGCGTCGGGAGCCTCATCTTCCACGCCATCGGCCAGCTGCTCCCGCAGCAGATGCAGGCCTTCCACTCGCCCAAGGCGCTCTTCCCCGTGGGCTACGAGGCCAGCCGGCTGTACTGGAGCACGCGCTACGCCAACCGGCGCTGCCGCTACCTGTGCTCCATCGAGGAGAAGGCGGGGCGGCCCGTGTTCGTCATCAGGGTTGTGGAGCAGGGCCACGAGGACCTCGTGCTGAGCGACAGCTCGCCCAAGGGTAAGGCCGCCCCGCGCCCGGCCGTGTCGCGTGTCCGCGTCCCCGCGTGTGTGCTTCTGTTTGATTCGCTTTGTAACAGCAGACGTGGGTCTTCGCTTGCGGATCTGAGCTTGTGTGATCCCACCTTGCTCTTGCCCGCACAGTTTTCTTAACATTTGCTAGACTTGCTCTCAGTCAGGAGACAGCGCTGGCTGGTGTGGCTCAGTGGTTAGGGCGTTGGCCCGCGGACTGAAGGGTCCCGGGTTCGATTCTGGTCAAGGGCACGTACCTGGGCTGCAGGCTCGATCCCCAGCCGCCTGGGTGGGTGTGGGAGGCAGCCAGTCAGTGTGTCTGTCCCACATCTATGTCTCTCTCTGAAAAGCAACGGGAAAAATATCCTCGGGTGAGGATTTAAAAAAAAAGTTTAATAAATCAAAATATAGTCAAAACACAGAGCTGATGAAAGAAACAGAAAAGTTTGTCAATGGTGCCTGTCATTTCCAGTGGGGACCCTCCTAGTGTCACTAGCAGGCAGGACCCACCTCTGGACATGGTCTATCTCAGGAGCGTCGGGCAGTGAATGTAGAGCTAGAAACGAGGCGGCTTTGACCTCCAGGGTTCACCTAGGTCGTCGTCACTTTTCACGTAGAAGGTCCTGGGGAGGGATCTGCTTTTTTAAAGGTTAGCCCTTTTTTGTGTTTTTTAAAAGGTTTGCAATAGCTTTTTAGTGTATGAAAATGCTCTAAAAGTGACTCTTATAAAAATATCAGTTGCATGGTTTAATTTAGATTTGAGAGGAAAGTAATGTTTCTAGAGATGTCAGTAGTTGGAGATCTTAAAACCTAATGTTACGTGGCCAATACGAAAATGAATTAACTACGTCATATTCTTTCCCCCACGTTCGTTGGTCCCTAAAACTCACCTCTGCCAGCAGGTCCGTGAGGCCCCCGCCAGCCTCACTGGGGCCTGGGACATGCGGCGGGTTGCTCTTCTCTGCCCTGGGTTTGTGCTGCCTCCTGCTGGCCTCTCTGTTCAGCTGAAAGCACGTTTGTCACACAGACTTTTTTTTCTCTGTATGCAGGTGTTTGGGATAAGATTCTGGAGCCTGTGGCATGTGTGAGAAAACAGTCTGAAATGCTGCAGCTTTTCCCCGCCTATCTGAAAGGAGAGGATCTGTTTGGCCTGACTGTGTCTGCAGTGGCTCGGATCGCGGAATCAGTGAGTGGACAAGGCGGGCTTGCGGCCGCACCCCTGGGGCAGTGTGCCGCAGTGTGACTGCTTTAATTCATGCTGTTGGTGTTGCTGGCAGGCTGACTCCTGTCTCTCTAAGGAGGTGTCCGGGTTCACTGGGAGAGCTCAGGAAGTGTCCCGGTCACTCAGGTGCCCACACCATTGGGGGTCCCCTGTTCCCGGGGTCACAGGAGAGGAGAACTCATGTCTTCTCTGACATCTTTGTAATCTTCAAGGTTACAAGCATGTTTGTCATGGAGTCTCCACACAGTTTGGAAAACAGCATGATTATAAGGCATAATTTTCAAATATAATAACTCACTGATGAGTTTTCTTGGGAGAAGCAAAGAACCCCAAAGCTCCTGAGTAGCATGCCCAGCTGCTTCCTTTGGTAGCGAGCCCTGCCTGTATGGCGTGTGTCGATTATGTCTATAGAGAAAAGTGTTCACAAGAAATAAATTCTAGAAAAGACCTTCACGTGTAAATTATTTTACAAGTAAACCTTTAGTTTTACCACCCACACTCCTAGGACCTGGGAGGGACAATCTCCTCATGTCATAGTCGAATTGAAGTGAGAGGTGATCGTGGAAGTCAGCCACGTAAATGATTTTTAACTAGACTTACTGACATTGATGTTGTGAATTAGTTATGTTCCCACGTGTGGGGTCGCTGTCCTTCCTCAGATCCTGAAACCCCCCAGGCTGCTCGCTAGTTTTCTTCAAGGGGCCCTTGCCAGCATTTACTTGCAAAGTTGCGTGTTCGTGTTTGTACTTTTAGCAGAGCTGAGTGTAGGCTGATCGTGTTAATGTTGCGTTTTGAAAGTGTTGATAGGTTACTTCCATACAAGCTGGGCTGTCCTTTCAGCAGCTCAAGACTACCTGTGTGTCCATCACGAGTTAACTGTCTCTCTGCTTCCTTGCAGCTCCCTGGGGTTGAGGCGTGTGAGAACTACACCTTCCGCTATGGCCGGAATCCGCTCATGGAACTTCCTCTTGCCGTTAACCCCACAGGTTGTGCCCGTTCTGAACCTAAAATGAGTGCCCATGTCAAGAGGTTTGTGTTAAGGTATTTTGTTTTAACTTCACATAGTACAGCCCAGGGTTTCTAGGCGTCTTAGTGGTTTTCGTGCTTGATTTGTCTGCTGCTTACAAACCCTGTGTCTCTGGCTGTGTCTGTGCCCGACCACATCCGAGAACGCACCGTGGGGCTCTGCTAGGCGGCTTCGTGTGTGTTCCTGTCGGCGCATCGGAACGGCCGGCTTCGGGGTGATTCGGAGACATCTTCAGTTCTCCTTTCTTTTCTCCTGTTGCCACGCCCCCGTCTGCAGGCCTCACACCTTGAACAGCACCAGCACCTCCAAGTCCTTCCAGAGCACAGTCACTGGGGAGCTGAATGCCCCCTACAGCAAACAGTTCGTCCACTCCAAGTCGTCACAGTACCGGAAGATGAAGACCGAGTGGAAGTCCAACGTGTACCTCGCCCGGTCTCGGATCCAGGTGGGAAGGCGGCGTCCTCGGGAGGGAGTCGGGTGGGGTCTGGCATTGGGAGAGATGGGCATCCGGTGTGAAGAGGGTTGCACACAGCTGTGGGAACAGGGTCACGTTTTCCAGATCCCTTCAGATCCCGCTAGTTTATCCCTCTAGCAAATCCGGATGCCGCCTTTGCACAGACCCTTCACTTTCCAGTGGAGAGACTGTTGGACTATACACCGTTGCTCAGGGGAGCAGGTAGCCCTGGCCTCGGCACACACGAGTCTTTCCAGCACGTGTGAGCGATCCAGTGAAAATAGTTGTAAAACGAGCTCCCTTTTTGGAAGCTATCCTGGGGGCCCAGCATGTAGCTTTCTTCCGGAGCTGCAGACCTAGAAACCAGAGGCCTGGTCAGCATCTCCCCTTGAGTGTCCCAGACTGGAATATAAAGCTCTCTAATCTACTCCTGGGCTCTGCACCCCCATTTCACCCCATCTCACTGCACCTCTGCAGGTCCACCTGTCCCCTCCCATCCAGTCCCACATAAGCCTGTGTGATCCCTTCAAACGAGTCTCATCTGCACTCCACTGTCTGTGCTCAGTCAGGTCCTCGCTCCTTCACTGGAACCTTTCCCCTCCTTCTGAAAGATTTTACCATCTTTTCTTTCTCCTCAGTGTATGGGCATTTGACAATGATGTGGCTGTGTTAGGGTTTTAATACTTACTGATTTCCTCCCTCGATGAGCCCTTTCTGCCTGGAGCAGCAATGTGGTCCGAGAAATGTCATGCTTGTTCTTTCGCGAGTTCCTACCGCCACCCCCCTGTTTGTGCCTATGGGCACATACTGGACCCTGAGATCCAGGATCTCAGCATGGACCCCCAGACCCACCCCCAGCAGCCTCTGGGGCCTTGTGTGGACCTTAGGCTCGGACCAGTGCAGCCAGAGTTCCTTCCTGTCTTCATCAGCTCTCTCACCCTTCTGAGACTATTTACCTGCTAATTTTTTTTTTTAAATATGTCTTTATTGATTTCAGAGAGAGGAAGGGAGAGGGGGAGAGAGAGAAACATCAGTGATGAGAGAGAGTCATTGGTCACCTGCCTCCTGCATGCCCCCTAATGGGGATAGAGCTCGCAACCTGGGCCTGTGCCCTGACCTCCTGGTTCATGGGCTGATTCTCAGCCACACCCACTGGGCTGAAGTTAAATGTTTTACATTTAAGACAATTTGATTTGCTTCCAGTGAATAGCCAGTTGTTGAAGAACCATTTATTCAAACTGTACTGACCTCTGTGCAGATTCCTGTCTTGTGTCCTGGTTATTCACCTCCAAGTCATATCTGGAATTGAACAAATCGCACCCTTTTTATTTACTGTTGCAAAAAATAATTTATTTCGCATAGGAAACTAGCGCAGGCCTCTATCCTGCGTGCTCCTGGCCAGGGCCTGAGGAGGGGCTGTCTAGGAGTCCCCAGGGAGCGTGGATCTTCCTCTGAGATGCATGAACTCAGGTTGGGAGGAGAAGATACAGATCTTTGTGGGAATTGTCCACACTCTTCCCAGCATGTTCTTTTTCCAGAACCTGTAATACTGAAGACTGTAGGTGGAGTGTGGAGTGTGCCATTATTAGGCTGCTAGAGTAGACGGCAGGAGCTGCCAAAGGAGAGAAATGCTCCAGTGTCTTCGCTGATTCAGATTCCTGCACATTTCTTTAGCAGCCTCAGGATTTTATATTGGGGGGGAAATTGCCTTTCCCAAGAACTTGCTTCTTTCCAACTTTCCTGACAGAGTAAATGAGCTTCTCCTAATTTTCCTTTCTGCTCAGGCTTCTAGGATGATATCGCCAGATCTGAAACCTGCTTTAGTCTTATTCATGATCCCTTCCAGCGAGCCCTGTTTCTGTTTTGTTAAGTTATTGTCGTGTCCAGTTCCTGCAGAAATAGTGGTGGGACAAGATAAGTCCCAGAAGCCACCAGCCTGTTAGCTGGTGGGGTCTCCGCATGTGTTTCAGGAAGGATGACAAAGCCGGGTAGAGACTGTGGCCGCCCATCAGCTGGGCTACTTTGTACACAGGCCCTGAGACTTTAGTGTGAAAAAGACACATGGCAAGGTAGTGACGGAATAGCTTGAATAGGTACGGTGTCCATTCTTCAGGTTTCAGAGACGGCATGTTCAGTAGAGAAGATCACCTGTGGTCAGGCTACGTCTTCAGCTTGGCTTTTGATACGACCTTTGTCTAAAGAGAAGGCAGGATTGTTGTCCAAGGAACTGAAGTGTGTCTGACATACACACTCACTCACACTTTCTCCCGCAGGGGCTGGGCCTTTACGCTGCTAGAGACATCGAGAAGCACACCATGGTCATCGAGTACATTGGGACCATCATTCGAAATGAAGTCGCAAACAGAAAAGAGAAACTTTATGAGTCTCAGGTGAGGGCCCCAGCCGTCCTCTCTGTCCCTGTGCCACCAACGGCCTGACTGTTGCGCTGGTTCAGTTTTGAATAGAAGCCGTCTGGTGGTGGCGTTTTCCCCGCCGTCTCCGCCAGTCCCTCTCAGCCGCTGCTGTTTGCAGAGGTGCGTGCAGGTTAGCGAGCCGGCTTACAGGCGGCCACCAGTTTGCTGACCCCCATTCATAGCGCGTCAGTGTCTGCTGCCTGGCTGGGGTCACGTCCTCCCAGTGTGATCGGGGCCATTCTGGGTCACGTCCCGCTTGGACTCCCTGGTGTGGGCAGGACTGCAGAGAGGACTTGGAGTTGTTTCTTTTTCAGAACCGGGGCGTGTACATGTTCCGCATGGATAATGACCACGTGATCGATGCCACGCTCACAGGAGGGCCTGCAAGGTGAGGCCACAGTCTGATCGAGGCCCTTCTCCTCTCGGTGGGCCACTGTCACTCTAGCCTCCCAGGGGTTAAAATCCAGGGCAGATAAGTTTCAGAAAGTTTCATTTTAAATTACGTATATTTGGTCTTGGTCTGTAGATGGGCAAAGAGAAATGTAATTAGGAAAAAGTTTTCCCCACGAGCTGCAAGTTTTCAAAGCTTCTCTCGGTTGACGTAGTTTTCTGAACGGTGGTTTGCAGGTACATCAACCATTCGTGTGCACCCAACTGCGTGGCTGAAGTGGTGACTTTTGAGAGAGGACACAAAATTATCATCAGCTCCAGCCGGAGAATCCAGAAAGGAGAAGAGGTGAGAGTGTGGGGGCGCGTCCACGCGTGCAGATCCCTGGGTGTAGTTTTCGCCTCTGTAAGTTCCCCAGTGGTTTCCCAGCTCTTTGTTTAAAGCTAGACTTGGCCTTCTCAAGGTAGGTCCCATTTTTGCCACCGTCATATCCCTCTGCCCGACACCCCACACAGCACGTGGAGCGTTGACTGCCACCTCTCTGTGTTCCTCCCTCATCTCCGTGTCACTCCTGTGGCATCATCTCCTATGTCTCCGGCTCCTCCCTCTCCCTTTACCCAGGTCACAGTTTGGCAGGACCCCTTTCTGTAACGATTGAGACTGGCGTCGAACAGATGACAAAGCCGATCATGGCATTCTCCCCGTGGTCTCAGGACTACTGTGGCACATGCGGGGGCGCCACCCGCTCCGGGTCGCTTGCATTCACACGAATGAGAAGTATCATTTAGAGGTTTTTCACATCCACAGATTTTCAAACAGTTTAGCTGCTTTATTATTTTTTCTTCAAAGTGCTCAGTGCTGAACTCGACGTGCCTTGCGTCTCACAGATGGCTGGGAAGGCTGCCAGCCTTCACGGCCTCGTTGTCATTTCCCGACTTCGTTGTTCACACGTGGTCAGCGTGTATCGCTGAGGCAGCTCCCGGAGCTGGAACGGGCGTCTGCTGGGAAGCTCGGGCCGAGCACTGGGTTTCTGTAGGAAACGCCCCGTTTAGGGATGAGCAGCCGGGGTCTGGTCTTTGTTGGAGCCCCAGTCCCCCATAAAGAGACCTGTGGGATTCTGCTTGGGGGGGGTGTCATCTTTTGGGAAGTCCCTTTATGAGTAACTGAGAGGAAGTGTGTGAGCCCAGCCCGTGCCAGTGAGTGCCGGGGGTGTCCTGGCGATGGTTTCCCCCATGTTGGGGTCCAGGAGCGGCTTATACTGGGGGAATCATGCAGAGTCCCAGCGACCTTGATGTCAGGGTTGGCCTGAGATGTTAATAATTGGGTGACCCCTGCAGAAAGGCATCTTAAATATTAAGTGAGGAGCGGTGGAGGAGAAAGAGGGTAGCTGGCTGGCCAGGGCGAGTCTCTCTGCCTGACTTGCGTGTCCCACCGGCCAGTGAGGGCAGGAGGAAGCTTGGAGCTGGGGGAGGACCCTTCTCCGGCCAGCGCCCTTGCTCAGATCGGGCTGGGCCTGAAAATACTGCCCCCCGGGTTCCTGTCCCGTGGGGAGCCCGGGTCGGCGCAGCCAGGCTTGTTCCCTGCCGCCCAAGGCCGCCCCTCGCTGGCCCGCCCTGTGCCCGCCTTGCTGGCTGAGCGGGCGATGCGCCGGGCCCTTCCCGCCCGTCCCCCGGCCTTGACGCTGTGTCTTTGCCGTGGGCAGCTGTGCTACGACTACAAGTTCGACTTCGAGGACGACCAGCACAAGATCCCGTGTCACTGTGGGGCTGTGAACTGCCGCAAGTGGATGAACTGAAGCATTCCGGCCGTCTCGGCGGCGGCTTGTCCCTGGGAAGAAGCGAGTCAGCGCACCGCGTGGTTCGGCGGCAGGACGGTGTTTTGTTCCGTTTCCCGCCTCTGGAACCCAGCCTCTGGGAGTTCTGGTCCCCTCAGCCCTCGGGTGCAGCGCAGCGGGCGGGCGGCTTTCCTGGGCGCCGGAGGCTCCGGGACCAGGAGCGGTCAGCACTTTTTCTTTCCTTCCCTCTTTCTTCTGTGGGTGGGTTTTGTTCTGTTCTGTTGTTTTGTTCTCACTGAGGAGAAACTTTCACTGGGGCAAAGAGCCAATGGCTGCCCTGCCCCGGGCAGGGGCCTTCCTATGAATGTAAGACTGAAATCACCAGCGAAAGGGACGCGTCCAAAGTGCTGGCCACGGCCTTATCTGAAAAAGGGGCAGGCCCTCTATTTAAAGTTTTTTAAGTAAGTAGACACCACTGAACAAGGAATGTACTGAGATGACCTCCTTAGGGATAGGCTAAGGGATAACTTGCACTAAATACATTTAAATACTTGATTCCATGAGTCAGTTTATTGTAGTTTTTGATTTCTGTAAAATAAGAGAAACTTTTTGTATTTATTATTGAATAAGTGAATGAAGCTATTTTTAAATAAAAGTTAGAAGAGAGCCAAGCTGCTGCTGTTACCTGCAGAACTAACAGACCCTGTTACTTTGTACAATTATGTAAATATTTTGAGAAAAAAATACAGTATAAAAATAGTTATTGACCAAATGCTACCAGGCTCCGCAGCAGCTCGGGTGCTTATAAAATGTTCTTAGGGATGTTTCAATATAATTTTTGTGTTATTAAATACGCCATTATAATTATGTAATAACCAAAATTTTGACCTAGAGTGTTTGGGGGTTTTTGGAAACTACGGTCAGTTAGTACTTAACGTTTTATACACCTTCTGACAGAACGCGTGTATACCACGACTAAACTTTTATAGCCGTTTTGGTAATTTAAACTAATTTTTCATATTATATTGTTGCATCCCTACTTCCTCAGTCAGGTTTTTTTGTGCTTACAATTTGTGATAACTGTGAATAACTGCTTAAAAAGACACCCAATGGAGGCTGAATTTTCTTCAGCAGAAGTAGTTTTGATTAGAACTTTGTTTCCGGCCACAGAGAATCATTTACACGTGCTAGGATCATGTCGCAGGAACTCGGGTCTAACTCTCTAGCCTTCTATTTAACACAAAAATTTGAAAAAGAAAAAAAAAAAAGGAGAGGCGTGATCGTGGGCTGCAGGACTCCAGCAAAGGGTTTCGGAAGATGTAATTTTAAAATGTGTTTGTATGAACTGTTTGTTTACATTTCTTTAATAAAAAAAAAACAAAAAAACACTGTTTTGTGTTTGCTTGTAGAAACTTAATCAGCATTTTGAACCAGGTTAGCTTTTTATTTTGTACTTAAAATTCTGGTACTGACACTTCGCAGGCTGAGTAAATGAAGTTTCGTGTGCACAATGCAAGTCAGCTGTCGGCTGTCGGTCTGTCCAGTGAGCAGCTCTGGACTTCAGTGTATATGGCATGATGTATTTTTATCTTACAGAGTAAATCAACTGTATATATTTTTCTCTTGATAAATAGCTGTATGAAATCTGTTTCTTGACTATTTTTCTCCTCTTGTACAATATTCTGACATCCTACCAGTATTTGTCCTACCGGGTTTTTGTTTTGTTTTCTGTTCTGTATAATAGTATCTAATGTTGACAAAAATTGAATTTTTTGAAGTATACAGAGTGTTATGGGTTTTGGAATTTGTGGACACAGATTTAGAAGATCACCATTTACAAATAAAATATTTTACATCTATAAAAGCCCCGAGTCTCTGTTAACCCCTCTCGTGTTCTGCTTTGAGCTGAGACTGGTGGCTGCCGGCCACGCAGCGGTGGCCTGGGCCGCCCTTCGGAGTTCCTGCCGCGCGGTGTCATCAGCTCGCTTCGCTTCGCGGCAGGCGGGGCACCGGCGCCCTTCCCTGCCGGCGAATCGAGGGGGCTCCGCGGCCCGCCCGCCCGCCAGGGCGACTGCAAACCGGCGCCCTGTCCCTGTGCCCGTTCAGCCTGTTTTTAACTGTGCAGTTGCTCTCCCGGGTTTTATTCTCTGTGGTAGAGGCTTTATTTCTATAATGTTGAATGTATGTAACACTTGAGGTTACTAAGAATTAAAATTGCTCTGAATCCCCCTCAGGATTTTTCTTACTTAGGTTTATTACAATTTGTGAAGAAACCTGAAGCCTTTTGTGTGTTTATTTTTTCTACTTCCAGTAAAATTCTGTGTGCAATACGAAATGTCTTATTAATTTTTTAAGAAGTTCAATTACAGTTGAAATATGAACTATTCCATTAGTTTCAGGTATACAGCAGTGATTCTGCATCACAGTGGTCATCCTGTTAAGCCTGGTGCCCGTCTGGCACTGTGCGTAGTCGGATTACCATGTCCCCTGTGCTGTGACTTAGTGCCCGCCTGTTTATAGCCAGCGGTGTGTACCTAAGCCCTTCCCGTCCCATCCACCCTCCAGCCCCCTCCAGCGCGGCCATCGCTTTGTTCTTTGTGTCTGAGTTTGTTTTTGTTCATCTGTGTTGCTTTTAGGTCCCACATAGAAATGACGTTACGTGGTGTTTCTTTCTCTGACTTATTTCATTCAGCGTAATGCCCTCCAGGTCCGTCCACAGTGTCGAAAACGTTCAGGTTTCATTCTGTCTCGTGGCCAAGTGATGTCCCGCTGTGGCCGGACTAACTGCGCCGGGTCCACCGGCCTGCTGAGCTCGTGGCTGTTGCCACGTTGGTGTTGTGACAGTGCCGTGAGCGTGGGGCACTTACATCTTTTCGAATCAGTGTTCTGGGTTTTTTCGGGTATGTTCCCAGAAGGGAAACTGCTGGGTCACAAGGCAGCCCTGATTTTTTGAGGACCCTCCACGCTGTTTCCACAGGGGCTGCGCCCGTCTGCACTCCCACCAGCAGGGCGCCAGGGTCCGCTCTCCCCGCACCCTCGCCAGCACTTCCCATGGGATTTGTTGGCGATGTCTCACTGTGGTTTGAATTTGCGTTTCTGATGATCAGTGAGGTGGAGCATCTTCTCACGTGTGTATTGTCCGTCTGTATGTCCTGGGAGAAATGTCTATTCAATTCCTTTGCCCTTTTTTAAATGAGATTGTTTTTTGGGGGTGGTGGTGTAGGAGTTGGTAATAGTTTTATTCTAAAAATATTTTTGGTGGAATCTTTCGGGGTCTCTACAGCGTAAACATTGACAGTTACGCTTCTCCCTCTCCGGTTCGGATGCCTTTTCTTTCCTGTCCGATGGCGGTGGCCAGGCTTCCAACGCCGTGTTCAATAAAAGTGGTGGAAGGGGACAGCCGCGTCTTGTTCCACTTGTAAAGAAAAGGCTTCCAGCTGCTCCCTGCTGGTACGTCAGCTGTGGCTCGCCGCGCGTTCCCGCGGGCCCGCTTGCTGAGGCGTCACTAGTGAGCGCTGGGCTTTGTCAGATGCTCTTCCTGCATCTACTGATGTGACCGTGTGGTTTATGCTTCATGCCGTTCACGTGGCGAATGACGCTGATGTGCGGATGTTGAACCAACCTTGCGCCCTGGGAATAAATCCCACGTGATCTGCAGCTGGCTGCCGCCCGAGCCGGGCTTGGGGCCGTGTATCAGGAGGTTCGGGCGCCCTGAGCCCGCTGCTGCCTGTTGAGGGCTGTGGGCCTCTGAGAGCCTGGGAAGTGGGCTGAGGCCGGCGCTTGTGTGGGAAACTCGCTGGCAGGGGTTCTGGCTGAGCCGAGGCCTCAAAGCTCCTGGCACCTGACGGATCTTTTTGGAAACTCTTCCAAGGCGTTTGCGGTCTGTGAGCCGTCGGTTTCACGCGGCTGGAGCGCGAGTTCATGTCTGCGCCAGGTTTTGCAGCTGACAGATGGGACGGGGCACCAGGTCTCGGCCTCGCGCTGCTGGCAGGGACGCACGGCACTGTCGTCAGCACGCTCGTCCGTGGTTCTGGAAGATTCCTTACAGCTTCCGTAACCTTCTGAACTGGACCCATGTTGTCCTCGGGAAGACCGCTCCTCCCCTCCATCCCTGGAGGGTCCCGCCAGGCCGTTCAGAGGTGCCTGAGGGCGCGCCGGGCGGCCCCACCTCCGTTCCCGGGGCGACACTGCAGAGCTCCCAGGTCAGATCCCCGTTTCCCCGCTGCGGGCACCCCCGGCTGGTTTGAGCGCGCTCCCCACCTGCAGAGCCGGCTTCTCGTTTGAAGGCTGCTTTCTGGGGCTCCAGAAGCCCCTTCCTCCAGCCGCTGGGATGTGGAGAGCACTTCAGGTCTTGGTTCCCAAAGAGGAGTCCTGTGAGCTCACCCCCTGCCCGGGCCGGCACGCCCATCTCCTTCCTGCTGCCACCCCACCCTCACCCACCCAGCCCGTTACTCCCACCGCCACAGCCCCCGACCTTCGGCTTCCTGCCTTGGCCTTTTCAACATCAGCGCCCCCACGTGCCCATCCCCGGCCCTCTGCCCTCTGCCCTCTGCCCTCTGCCCTCTGCCCTAGCAGGCTGGCCCTGTCCAGTGCTGATCCATGTGACAACTTTCCAAACAGCGCCGTTGGCTCCAAAGCCAGGTCCAAGCAGAAGCTGCCCGTTACTGTTGCAGCTGCTGTGTTCCCGTAAGAGCTGCACCTGAAATACTCGCTTTCTCCTTTCCCGACGCTGCTGCACTAAGAGGTCCTGCGGCGGCAGCTCTGCCCACCCGGGTGCCGCACCCGGACACCCCAGGCTAAAGCTGCCGCTCCCGTGGTGCCCGCGATCTCCTGAGCTCCGCCTCGCAGCCCTGATCCGAATCCTTCCCCTCCCGGGCGGAGCCGCTGCCCCCTGTCCCGGATGTGGATGCTCGGCCGCGGGGCTTCTGAAGGCCGTGGTCCTCCCTCCCCCTCCCTTCTGATGACAGGTGAGTCCCCGGAGCACTGTGCCCTCTGCTTCCTAATGGGACTGCAGACAGAGGAAGACAGCTTTTGAAATAAATTAGTACCTTACCTGTGACGGTGCAAATTAATGCAATACTTGTGCAAAACTATTTGATAATGTTTTGTGATTAAAATATTCATATTTATCCTTAGGGAGGGAAAACACCGCTTTTCCTCCTGACCGTGCTGTGCTGAGCACTCAGGCTGCGCCCCAAGGACAGTGCAGCACAGCAGCTCCCTGGCCTTTTAAGCAAACTACTTGAGGATAGTTTCAGATTTACACAAAAGTTGCCAAGATAATACAGACATTCCCCAAACCCCCTTCGCCGCCTCCCCTCACTGTAACTAGGGTGCGTTTGTCAGAGCAAAGACATGAAGGACGACAGGCATGCTTCCAGCATCACCGGGTTTTCAACAGTCCTTTTTCTGTTCCAGGACCCGACCCAGGACACCACAGGCTCATCATGACAGCTTGGTCCCCTCTGGTCTGTGACTCAGGTCTGTCTCGTTTTTCATGACCTTGACAGTTCTGACCGTTTCTTTCATTGCGTTCAGGTTTTCCCTTAACACTTTTCGCACATTGAACGTATGTGTAACAGCTGTTTTAAATGTCACTATCTAATTCTCTTACATTTCTGGGCCTAATTAATTGACCTCCTGGTAACAAGTCACAGTCTGCCCTGCCTTCTCCGTGACTAGTGATCTCTGTTGGATTCCAGAATCGGTGCCTGTGTGTTGAGCGCTGGGGGGAAGTTAAGTTACTGGAGAACCAGTGTCCTCCCTTTGAAGCTTGTCCCTTAAACATTTCCAGGATGAGTGTAACTTGGCCCCACCATTGAGGCGTAAGGCCCTTCGGGGGCAACATGCTGACGTCCTGGGTGTCCAGGGCCTCCACTTGGCCGGTGGAGCTTAAACTGCCAGCCTTATGTGATCTCCGGGGCGGGGGGGTCAGTTTAGTTTTCCAGGACTTGGTCTTTCCTTAGAGCTTCCTCTTGGCCGTCCCAGGAGTCACCTCACCTGTGGACAGACTGACACACAGCCAGACTCAAGTGGAGACCCCCGTGCCCATCTCTGGACCCCTTCTCTGATAGCTCCCTCCTCCCCTGCGCGCTGGGCTGCAGATGCCAGCCACTGTGGCCTCCCTGACCTTGGTTCTCGGTTCAGCGAGACCACCAGCCCCTTCGGGGTTCCCCTCCCTGCACAGCAGCCTGGGAACTAGAGCTGGGATGGCGCGGCTGGGTCCTCAGGGTTCGGTCCTGCAGCCCCTGCCGCCCCATGTCTGCAGTTGTGTATTTTGCCCCCCAGCTGGCTGCCCCAGGCCGAGTCGGGGTCTGTTACTCCCCCTTGGACAGCAGCAGCATTCTCATTTAATTTTTCCTGCTTGTCAAAGTCTGTTTCCNCTCTTCTCATTTAATTTTTCCTGCTTGTCAAAGTCTGTTTCCTCACCCCGTGTTCCTTTTTACTCCTAAAGCCATTTCCTAAGATGCGTGACTCGGGATTTCTGTCACATTTGTTTTCAGACTCTGCTTTATAAAAGGGTCATTTCCTGTTACTTGGTGTCTTTTTGTGGGTTCTGAGCAGGCCAGTCGCAGCTTCGGTCGACCCTGTGAACGTGTCTTCCTGCTGGGCTCTCCCACTCGCCTCAGCCTTTCCCCCGCAGACCCAGGGCTCACCGACCTGCCAGTGCAGGGCCGGGACGGTGGCCCCCAGGCAAGGAGCTGTGACTGTTCCTGAGCTTTCTGCCAGAATTCCCAGCGGCCGATGGGCGGATGCACCCTCGCCCCACTGGGCAAAACCCGGGTCGCAGTGGCTGCAGCTGTGTTGCCTGGTGAGCTCAGCCACTGGCTCTGCGCCCCTGAATCGGAGGGGACTGAGGGACGCACCGGTATTGCTGCCTGCAGCCCAGACCTAATGTCCCTCCCAGAAGTGGAAAAATTGGGGTATAAATGAAGGAAAGCAGTGCGTGTGAGTGTAAAGGCGTGAAAATGGGCCACGGTATGAATGAGGACAAGCCAGTCACGCCATCAGGGCCTGGAGAGGGGAGGCCACGGGGCTGAGACCACCCCTGCCCTTGGGGCCTGACCAGGTCGAATAGAACCTGGGCGGCCTCACCCTGGGAGATGCTTTCCCCAGATGGTGATGGACTAATGACCGAATGTCTCTTACGCTGTGACTTGGACCTGAAGGTGGGGGCTGGTGCCAGTGGAGTCAAGCACGGGAACTCGGTCCCACCCCCCTGACCTCCGGGGAGGGGAGCGGGGCTGGAGGCTGGTCAGTCACCGGTGGCTAGGACTTCACCCTCTGTACGGAAACCTCCGCAGACCCAAAGGGACAGGGCTGGGAGCCCGTCTGGGCTGGTGACACGTGGAGGTGTGGGAGGGGGAGCTTGGGGGGGGGGCGCGCAGGCTCCTCGCCCCTCCCGCACACCCTGGCGCCTCATGTCCGTTGGACGTCCCATTTCTCAGCCTGTTTCTCTGAGTTCCGAAAGCCACTCCAGCAAACTCACTGAACCTGGGGACAGGGTCATGGGGACCTCTGACTTACAGCCAGTGGTCAGAAGCACAGGTGGCAGCCTGGACTTGGGACTGGCACCTGCCTGGGGGAGGGGCGGCCTTACGGGACCGAGCCCTTCGCCTGTGGAAGGGGACGCGCTCCCCAGGTGCAGTGTCAGAGCGAGTGGAGCTGCAGGACACCCGCTGGTGTCTCAGGACATTGTTCGCTGTGGGGACCGCACATTCGGTGACCGGAAGTGAAGAGTTCTGAGGGGAGGCAGGGAAGGGGACGGGACAGACTGAACCGGGTTTTCTGAGAGACTTTTTGCCTCGTTACAGTAACTATGGATTTGACCTTGACGCGCTTTTGTTGCCCATTTGGTGAGAATTCGGTTTTCCTGAACTTGGAAGGGGGGGCGGTTCCCCGACTGCTCTAGCCTGAGCCCCCCTCGCGTGCGGGGCCTTGCCTCCCCCTCCACTCGCCGGTCCCCATCCGGCTCGTGCTGTGGGCCGTCCCCGTAGGCGGGGCCCTGCCCAGAGAAGCCCCGAGGTCAGTGTCGAGCTGGGGGAACCAGCAGGCTCGGCCCTCGCCCCACCTGAGTGGGAAAGCCCCCCCGCCGTCCTCAGGTTCACCACGTTTCCTGTGAGCCTGCCAATTTGGGGGTTTTCTTACTTTTGGGTCCACCACATGCTCTGCTGTCCCTTCCTTGTGCTTCAGCCACACAGGTGTCAGTGACACTCAGGTCTGACGGCTGTTAGTTTCCCCAGCGCTTGAGACTGTGAGGTGCCCTCCTCACCCAGGGACCTCGCACGGAACCCCAGGGTTTCGCCCGGCTGCTCGAATTGTACACGGTGCCGACTGCGGGGACACGTGAGACCTCCGCGGGAACCCCCTCCTCCACCTCCTCGGAGCCCAGGTCAGTCCTTTTTACTTTGGCCATTTAATGGATGTGAAACGGAGCCCGAGTGTGGGTTTAATCTGCGCCCCCGATGACTATGGTTCTGAACAACCTGTCTCGTGCTGAGCCAGTTACATGTTTGCTGACGCGTCAAGTGTTGTGTTCATGTTAAGAACTGGGTTGTCTTTCGTTGTACTTATTGGGATGACGCTGGTTGATAAAATTATGTTTCAGGTATAGAACCTACAATACACCTGTACGTTATATTGTGTGTTCACCACCCCAAGTCTCCTTCCGTCACCATTTATCCCCTTGACCCACTTCTACGCCCCCCCCGCTGTCTGTGCCTGAGGGGTTGTCTGTCTGTATTACTGAATTTTAAGCATTGTTTATACACTCCGGACACAAGTCTGTGCCTTACCTTTCTGTTTTCTCAATGGTGTCTTGAGCAGATTTTAATTCTGATGAAGTCCAATTCATTATTCTTTTTTAACTAGTTTTTACGGGTTAAGAAATCTCTGCCTAGTCTTGGGCGTGGTTAAGCCGTCTCAGAATGGACATCAGGGCGTGCTCACGGTCACTGTGGTGACAGCCACTGGCGTCATCTCCTCGGCCGTGCTGCAGACCTGCCTCGGTGCCGGCGCTCCGGTCGCAGCGTTACCCTCTGCTGCTGTGCGTCATTTTGGACGGACGCCAAGGGACTGCCGTACTTAATGCGACTCTGCCAACAGCTTTATCTAGAGGCCTGCTGCTGTTTGTCTTTGATGAGATTTTTGTCACCAGGAAAGGCAGGATGGCATTTCCTTCTTCCAGACTGAGTTGGTGCGGTGCATTCTTGGTTATCAAAATACACAGCTCTGGGACTTTGAAATGGTAAATTATTCGTGAAGCGTGAGAAAGCAAGGTGCGTCTTACACAGCCTTAATCACGAAAAAATGGAAGCTCAGCGTGTAGATACAGGACCTAGGGCACGTGAGACTGTAAACTGCTTGTGGTTATGGACGACTTCGTTCTTTGCTCCTTGCATTTGTTTGCTATTATGGGGACATACTAACTTTCAAAAACTGTTATTTTTAAAGCCTAAAAAAAAAAAAAATCTTTGCCTACCCCTCAGTCATGAAGGTAAGCTTCATTTTACAATTTGTTTTGAGATAGTTTGTGTATGGTGTAAGGTTTCATTTCTGTCTGTAGGGATGGGAATTTCTTCCAGCATCACTTGTTACAAAGTCCTTTCCCCAGTAAGCTGTGTTGGCTCCTTTGCTGAAAGTCAGTTTCCCGTATGTGTGGGTCGTCTGTCCTGCCATCTACCCATTATCTGTAAGCCATCATCACAGTCTGGAATCTGTGCAAGTCCTCCAACTTCATTCTCAGTGGAATGCACGTCCATGTGAATTTGAAAATTAGATGGTCAACTGCAGAAAGCCTGCTGGGATTTTGGTGGAGGGCAGCATTCAATCTGTAGATCAGATTGTGGAGAATTAATGTCCTAAAAATACCGAGTTTCCTAGTCCCCGAGTGTGACACAGCTTCCCATGTGCTTAGCTTGTCTTTATCTCCTCAGCAACGTGTCACACTTCCCGTTGTTCATATTTTGATGCTGTTACTGCAGCCATAATACCATTATTTTCCATTTTGAACTGTTGCTACTACATTAAAGTACAATTCAGCTTTATACTGACCTTTTATTTTGTGAACCTGATTAGTTAACTTATTAGATAAATGTTTTAAACTCACTACGATTTCCTACACGCGCGACCAGTCTTCCTCTCCGGAGTGCGTGCCCTGGCCGCCCGCCAGCGCTGAAGGGCAGTGGTAAGGACAGGCGTCCTTGCCTTGTCCCTAACCAGTGGTGTGTTTTCTTTACGAGACTGGTTTTTCATGGAGGCCCTCTGTCGGGTTGAGGAACCTTTTCATTCCTAGTCTGCTGAGTTATTGTCATAAATGGGTGTTGGATTTGGTCAAATGCTTTCTTTTGCTAGACCATAAGCCTTTTCTGTGTTGTAATAAAGTACACTGATCGAGTTGTATTGTCAAAACAACGTGGCATTCTGGGGTCCAGCCCTCTTTTCCCCCGCGTATCGTCTTTCTGCGTGCTGCCGGATTTGATTTGCTAATGTTTTGTGTCTTCTGTATTCATGAAGGTTATTGGTCTATAGTTTTCTGGTGTACTGCTTTTAAAATTGCTCATAATATCAAAATTTCTCAGAAGTTTTCCAGAAGAGGTGTACAGTTTTTTCCTCCAGTGTTTGATAGAATTCATCAGTGAAGCCATCTGTGCCTAGTTTTCTATGTGGGAAGGATTTTAAACTGCAAATTCAACTTAATAGCTATAGAGCTATTTAGGTTATCTGTTTCTTTCAAGGAATTTGTCCATTTCATTTAATTTATTGGCATAAAGTTGGTCATAACGATCCCTTACCCTTTTTAAAGCAGTTTTACATGAGGACACGCACAGCTCCGCCAACGACATCATCATCAGCGGTAACTTGTCACTGTGCTGACACATCATTAGCATCCGCCGCCATAGTTTAGGCTCTACTTTGGGGTTTGTACATTCCATGGGTTTAGACGAATGTGTGTCATACCTGAGCATCGCTGCCTAACAATGCTCTGTGCTGACCCTCTCTCCTTCCCTCTGCCTCTGCCAACCACTGATCTTTTACCATCTCCATGGTTCTGCCTTCTCCATTCAGCCACACAGCTGGACTCAGCACAGTAAGTAGGTTTTCAGACTGGCTTCTTCTACTGAGTAACGTATTCACGGTTCCTCCGTGTCTTTTTGCGGCCTGATGTTTCCATTCTTTGAACACTGAGCAATAATCCATTGTCTGGCTGGACCAGTTTACCCACTTACTGAGGACATCGCCTTGGTGGCTTCCAAGTTTTGGCAATTAGAAGTAAGTCTTTTGTGGGCATAAGTTTTGAACTCCGTTGGGTAACTACCAAGCAGCCTGATGGCTGGATCACATGGTCAGAGTATGAAACGGCCAACTGTCTCCATAGGGGCTGCACCACCCGCATCCCCACCCTCAGCGGCTCACCCTATCAGTGACTCCCCGGGAAGGCTGCGCCCCCCCTACTGATGCTGGCGATTTGTGCCCCTTTTTTGACTAGAGGTTTTATCAGTTTTGATTTTATTTTCTCTGCGTCGTTTGCTTCTGTTCTGAAACTCAGTATTTCTTCTGCTGCTTTGCTCCTTGAACTTGCTTTTTCTGTTTTCTTAGGATGAAAGCCAAATGCACGTATTTTCAAACTTTTGACCCTTTCCTAATACAGGGCTTAGTGCTGTAAGTTTTTCAAGAAAACTGCTTTGTGGTTCAACATAAAAAAATTCACTTTATATTTGGGCATTTAATACATACACATGATTCCTAGAGAGAGAGATCCAACTATTCAACTCTACCTGGGTGTTCCACAGGGAACTTTAATGTCAAGTATCCAAATTCACATACCTTCAGCTTCAAACTCATAATTCAAGCCTAGAAACTGAAAACTTCCTCTGGTTAGAGCCACTACCTAGCGCACTGGTTCATCGCTGAATCCAACCGTGTTTCTTACCATGCATCACACACACAGGACACCTCAGACCTGAGGCTTCACTACAAAAACAGGTAAATAATTAAAAGGATCCTTTATTTTAAATGTAGATAGTACCATAATCATCAAAATAATTTATAGTAGTTATTAACCACCTCTTAAATATGACCCTATAAATGATTCCTTCTGAAGTTAAAAGTAATATGGATTCAGTCAGTTTGAAGTTAACCGTCTGCTATGAAAGGAAATTGTGACATGTTCCTGATCAGATGAACACCATTCCATCACTAAAGGGGATTAAAAAGAAGCATAAACTAATTTGAATAGGCTTAGCAATTTCCTGGTTTTCTCCTGTATAAACCTGATCCTTTAAACTATCTGGTTTCCTACCATAAGCAAGAAATTCCTTAACAGCAACCTAGAAATGGCTTCAGTGTCTTGGTGACACACTTCTCCACCTCCTGATGGCTGCTCAGTGCTCCGATCCCAACAGTATGTTGACTGTCTCACCTCTGCTAATTCCCAGGCATCCCCACAGGAGGACATGCATCCCAGGCATGGCGTCCACCTTAACCTTCCAAATGCCACTGCTGCAAGGGGGAGCCATCACAGATCGCCATAGCAACATAGCCTTTGTGACTCAGTGGATCAACTGCCTTCAGGCACTGTCCCACTGACACCTGGTACAGCCGATTATTCTTCTGAAAAATAAAAAAAGGTAACTTAAAGCACTTGCTGTCTGAATAAGGTAAAGATACAGTCATCCGAAAGCGATGCAGAGCATTTAAGATGACATGCGGGATGCTACAAGCTCAGAACACCCTCCACAAGGTAGACTATCAGCCCACCTGCCCCCTCCCATCCTCACTAAGCCAGCTCCTCACCCCAAAGGTCCATTGCTGGGATCCTCCCGACCCGTGGCACTTCATGAGGCGTGGCGGGTCTGATGATCGAGTTTCTGACATATCCAGGCAAAGGAGATTACTTAAAACCAGTTCATGCTCTTCATTATAAATCCAGATCTAAGGAGGAATAGGAAAGATCAAAACCCCAAGTCCTACTCAGAGCAGCCACACAAGACAAATAAAGAGCATCCAAATTGGAAAGAAGAGGTAAAAACCGTTAGAATAAATGAATTCAGTGAAGTTGCAGGATACAGAATCAGTGTACAGTAATGAACGCTCGTAAGTGAATAACCCCATCACAATAGCACTGAAAAGAATAAAATACCTAGGGTAAGTTTAATCAAAGATGCAAAAGACCNAAACCTATTGTTTTTACATATCAATAATGAACGCTCGTAAGTGAATAACCCCATCACAATAGCACTGAAAAGAATAAAATACCTAGGGTAAGTTTAATCAAAGATGCAAAAGACCTGTGCTCTGAAAACTGTGAGATATTTGATATATCTCCTTAAGTGAAACACAAGAAAAAATAAAATGGAACAACATCAAACTAATAAAGTTCTTAAAAGGAAACCACTGATAAAACAAGAAGCAGTTTATGAATGGGAAAAGATATATGCAACTGGCACATCCAATAAAGGTTAATACCCAAAAATTGTAAAGAACTCGTACAACTTAACACCAAAAAGCAAAACAATCCAATTTCAAAATGGGCAAGGGACCTGAATAGACATTTCTCCAGAGAACATACAGATGGCCACAGGCATGTGAAAAAATGCTGGAGTCATTACTCGAGAAATGCAATTAAAACCACAATGAGATATCACCTCCCACCTGTTACAATGGCTGTTGTCACTAAAGAGCAAGTGTTGGTGAGGATGTGGAGAAAAGGGAGCCCTGTGCATTGCTGGTGGGATTGTAAATTGGTGCAGACACTATGAAAACTATATGGAGGTTCCTCAAAAAATTAAAAATGGACCTGCCCTATGACACAGCAACTCCACTTCTGGGTATTTACCAAAGGGGAAAAAAAACAGTAACTTGAAAAGATTCCAGTAACCAAGACATGGAGGAACCTAGATGTCCATCACAGGTGAACAAAGACATCGCCACATATACAACCGAGTATTACTCAGCAACAGAAGAAGAATGAAACCTTGGCATGGATGGACCTAGTGAGTAAGTCAGAGAACTCAAATACCTTATGACCTCACATGTTAAAGAAACAGATCCTCTGAAAGAGAACAAGCTGATGGTTGCCAAAGGGGCGGGGGGGAGCTAGGAAAAGGTGCACGTCCTTGGCCATTCCTCACAGAGTCACATAACTTTCAATTCATTCTGTATAACTGGACAGTTCAAATAATGCTCTAAACAAACAATTCCTCTGACACTTATCAGAGGTCACACTGAAATCTAATGTCTGCCCTCCTCCAGGAATGACGGGTGGCAGGTCCCCTTCACTGAAGGACACCTTCTAGGGACTGGCATTGAGCACAGAGGCATCGCTCACCTGATCTGGGTCACTGTAGTCACACGCCTTGAGCACTACGAGGCCTCCCTTCTGACTTGGGCGGCCCTGGGCCACCAGGCACTTGCCAGTCTGGAGGTGATAGAGCTGTAAAGGAAGAGACTGCTTGTGAAACCCAGCATCGGAGAAAGACCAATGCTAGCAAAGGGGGTTTGGGATGAAATATGAAAATATTATTCCAGACATATGAACCACTGGAGTTCATACAAGCATTTTTTATTCCTAAATTCTAGCCTCAGTACGTCAGATCCTTGCAATAGGCTTCAAGGTTATAGGAACTTTTAACCTATGCAGATGGTGTCAGAGAGAATCTCTACCTGAAGTTGCAGGTTACTAATCTGCAGGGAAGGAAGGAAAACTACAGTCTGGGCATTAAAGTAATACTGGGGAGATTAACGTAACATACATGCCAAACGGGGATAAATACGGATCACAAATGCCATGCATTCCAAAGCTGGGGTGCGTGAGCAGCAGAGGGGAAGCAGAGGGCCTCGGTACAAGGGCAGCTTTAATACTAAGGGAGGCAGGTGTACAAGGCAAGAGTAGTCATGGTGAGGGATTCAACGCCACGGACACACCCTGGTACCTATTTTACTTTAATAGAAAACACCTAATATCATCTTGATGACTTTTTTTAACCTTAGTAGAACAAGAAGGGGGAAAGCTCTAAGCTTACTCTGGCCACCCAACAGCTGGCACTGTGATGGAACCTTCTGGGGGCTGCCTTTGTAGCAGAAGGAAACGGGGCAGTAATGACAACTACACAACTTTCAGGAAAAAGGGGTCTAGCCAGAAATTCTTAACCTAAAATTTAAGTGTGATTATAAAACTGAAGAAATTTTCTTAAACAGAAGGGAACAGCCAACCAAATGTGGTTGATCAATTCTGCTCAGCTCAGGTGACTGCTGAGAGAGTCAGGTGTGAAATCACCTTGTGCCAACACTTAGACCCGAACCCACCTTTTACTTCTGTCTGCAGTCAGGTCCCAGAGCTGAGGCCAAACAACATACAGCTGCCCAAGTTCTCCTTCTGGTTCCTTATTTAACAGTCTCTGCCGAATGAACTTTACACTCGCACTGTCTTTATCTGCATATTCCTATTTATATCTATCCTCTTGGAAGCTAGCACACAACTTACAGAAGTCAGGCTCTCAACACTGGCAGGTAAAGGATCTGAACATTGACAGTGAAGACATTGAAATTTCTAAGGTCTTACACCTGAGTAGAGAAATTCTCATAAGAATATAATGGAAGGCAAACTACAGTCCAACATGAAACATCTGCTAAGTCTCTATGTCACTTATATCAGACCACATTTAATGAAATACTCTGATAAGATGCTTCCTTACCCTTCCACGCTGAAGGATTTTGGGGCGTTTTGGCCCTCTGTTGATAAAAATGGGCTGCTGGGGTTTGGCATTGGGCCCGGACACCTGCATCTCCGGGTAAATGGTATCCAAATACCATTTAAACGACTTACAGCCCAGCTTCCTCCTCAATTCAACACGCTCACTGATATTGCCATAGCTTCTGGTCCTCAGGTCAGGTCTCAAGGAAAAATACTGCTCCTGAAGTTGAAAAAGAAAATTAAAAAACAGAAAGGATTTTTGTTAAAATGAATATCATCAATCATATCTGAGGTCTAAAGAATTGAAAAAATGGATTCTCAGCAAAAAATACTTTTCATGCCAGTGTTTTCTTGATGTTGACAGAAAATGTCAGTAGAAAATTTACGCAATTGGGTCCATAATTGATAGTAACAGTTAAGACATCTTTAATTTAAGATACACCCCAATTTCAGAAATGGCAAAACATGTAAAAATGGCATCTTGAATAAATTCTAATGCATCTTGGAATCAATGAAACAGGCTACAGATAAGACTAGCAGTTCTCAAACGGTTTGATGCCAGGACTCTGTATTTTAAAAATTACTGAAGACTCCAAGGAAGTTCTGTTTCTGTGAGTTCTATCGATATTTACCATACGAGAAGTTAAAATTCACAAATTTAAAAACGTTTACATCATTAAAAATAAACATTACCTATTAATATGGTTGGAAAAAGAAATGGAGTGAGGACAGTCACACTGCTTTAATTCCTGCAAATCTATTCAGTAGCTGAAATGAACTAAGCTGGACTCCTGTCAGCACATCAACCTGTTACTCTACGTTGTTAGGTTAAATATATTTTTAAAAATGCAAGTTAATAAAAATATTTTAATAACTGGCCTTTTTTTTTTTTTAAACATTAATGAGAGAGAGAGATTGGGAGAGAGAGTCTCATTGATCGGCTGCCTCCCGCATGCCCCCGCCTGGGGATTGAGCCCGCAACCCGGGCATGTGCCCTGACCGGGAATCGAACCCCGATCGCCTGGATCCTAGGTTGATGCTCAACCACTAAGCCACGCTCGGCCGGGCCGGCTAGTCTTTCTGATCCTACATTAAAGCTCTAACTTTTAAAGGTTAGCTGCAAACGATTATAAAAATCACCATTGAGCTTTTGGTATTGCTGCATTAAATCTACCGGTTTATCTCGCAGCCATGGTTGTGAGTCCTTTTCTGACATAAAAAGTGTCCGTGGAGAAAAAGGGCTAGTTCAGTTACAACTCAGAACTCCTATTTTTCCTGGTGACAACCACTGTCTCCAACCTACAGCACAAGTGCTCGCTGTGGACTTGCCGTGAACACTGACGGGGATGGGTGAGAGCTGCTAGAGGGAATTACTCAGACGACGTCACCAATGACGTCCTTAGGAAAGACTGGCCTTCTCCCTTCTAGCTTCTGGCTGGGTTGGCAGTGAAGGACGCAGTTTGCTCCAGTGCCTTGGTCTGCGCCAGGGCATCAGCAATGTGGCGTCAACATGGTGAAATGTTTGGCACATTCTCTACGAGCCTGACTGTGAAAACGGCTTTGCCCTGGCCGACAACCTGAAAGGGTGGCCAGGACCGCCCTGGGCCTGTGGCCTACATTTGAGAGCTGCTGCGTTACCAACAGTGGTGATTCCAAGATGATCCGCACGGAGCTGGACCTCAGGAGCCGAGTCCAGTGCAGGCAGGAGGGAGGCGAGGCTGCACAGCGATGCGTCCCTACTTCCACCCCCACGCACAGCGAGTCCTTCGACCCTGTCCTTCCACGGGACACCTACCTACCTCTCCACTTGCATTTGCCTCAGTGTTAAAATTACTGTGTTCTCCCTTAGTCGTCTTTGTATCCCCTAAACCTAACACGGGCTGGTACACAGTAGGTGCTCAATGAATGCTTGTTTTTAAAAAAAATTGTACACAATTGTTCACAGCAGCATTTTTCATAAAAACCCAAATGTCCACCAGCTCATGAAAGGATAAGCAATGTGGTATGTCCACAATGGGATATTATTTGGCAATAAAAAAACCTGATACATGGTATAATATGGATAAACCTGACATCATGCTGAATGAAAAAAAGATGGTCACAAAAGGCCATATGTTGTGAGACTACATTTGTATAAAATGTCCAGAATAGGGAAATCCATAAATTGAGGAGGCAGATTACTGGTTGTCTGAGGGTGGGAGGAGGTGATGGCTGACGGGTACAGCATTTCTTTTTAGGGTGGTAAAATATTCTACAAAATGACTTGTGAATTATACCTCAATAAAGCTGTTGCAGAGAAAGTACCAGTGCCGGCTGCGTCTAACAGAGAAGACAGGAAGGAACGCTACCTGAGCAGAGCCTAACGGGAAGCTGGCGTGGGTCACAGCGAAGCCCAGCGAGCAAACGGGAGGAGCCGGGTTCTGCGGGAGCCCTAGGAGGAACCAGGACTGAAAAAAAAACAGAATTTCTCCTTTCTCTTAGTGAGTGGTCAGCTGGAAAATTGAGACTCAAAACGAGTGAAATCCTGAGTGAAGGGAAGAAAGAGAAAAGAAACCTAGAAGGAGACGGTCCCCCGAAGGAGCGATGGCCTTCCCATGAGAAACCTGAGCTCACCTTATACTCATCCAGCCAAACGTGTGCCAGCCTCAAGGAGTTGTGTGTCATGGTGTCCTGGCCTTCAGGGGAGCCATATGGGCGCCTTTTCCGGAAAATGTGCCCGACTCTGGAGCAAGGGATGATGAACAGCTTGCCCCCGCACATCCAGATCTGCCCAGAGGTAAAGCGCGTGTCAGTAGCTGCCCACGGCCATGAAGTCACACCTCCCTTGTCATGACACTCACCTTTATTAAACAGCTGTCTGCGGTATAATCATGTCTTTATGACTAAAAGCAAGTAAACTCCTAAACAACATAGTGTTTGTTTACTCCCGGGCACTGTTTCAACAGATCAGGGCACTTGACCTTTGGGACTTAGGGGAAGAAAAGCTTACCATCAGCCCTGGAATTTCAGTTTCACAGGTGTTTTCTTATAAAATGCATTTATCTTTTTTTAAAAAAAGTGTTTTATAAAACACACAGAATAACTCTAGGTTAAGATTCAAAAGCTCTTAGTTCTGGGTTTAAATTTTGACTATGAGTTACTTTATACGGTCATTTTAATTTCTGTGGAACTCAATTACCTTATTTACAAAATAAGACTAAACTAACACTATCTATTATTCCTTTCAACTTTAAAATTCTAAAGATTATGTAAGAAAAAGTACCTTTTAAAAACACTGTGGTCAGCACATCTGCAGAAATAACAAAGTGACATGCACAAGGCATTGTGCTGCCTGGATGCAGATCTGCTGCCCAGAC